GCCTGTGGTGCAGCCAAAGGCTTATGAAGGCACTGCCCAGGACAGCAAAGCCAGTGAGGGAGCCCAGCAGGATGGGCAGCAGCACAGCAGAGCCAGGACCTGGAAACAGAGAGAGGGAATCAAGAATGAACAGGGTGAAGAGAGGGGAACCCATCTTCAGAGCATGCCAGGCAGGTGTGGCAATTCCTGTCCCCAGAGCAGTAAATGGGCAGTGCCTTTTTAAACACAGCCCTCTGTACCCTAGAATGCCACCAGTAAATTGTCTTTGCATAAACAGCTAAAGGAGAGATTTGGGATGGTGCCAGGGGATTTAAGAAGTCTCTCACGTTCATGATGCACCAGGTTCAGTGTCACTCTTTTCTAATACCTGGACAACATCTGATTGACATTAACCTTGACTCCTCCCATCTCATCTCATCTAAAACACAGGCACTGGAAGGAAGAATTAATAAATATCTCTCACAACTGTTTTGATGACATTCCTCATTCTCAGTCAACATGTTTCACCAAAATACCACAATTTGCATGAAAAGTCTTTACAGCTCAAGGTCATTCTGCCTCATTTTCCTCCCCTTTCCTTCTTCTAAAGCTTCAGTTCCTTCAGAGGATGTGTTTGGCTGTGTCTCCTGGCTGAAACTGTTGGATCTGATGCTGATTAACCACCAGGTCTGGGATTTAGGAAGGCCAGAACAAAGGTGGGGAGTTGTTGGGGTATATTCTAGTCATACCAGATGTCTGTCAAGAAAACTGTTAAAACTAATGCTTTTCTTTTTCTTTTTTTTCAGCAGGAAAAGCTGAACAAAAACTACTCCAAGAGAGAGAGACAGAGAAGGCAGAAGAGGAGACCCACCTTCCACAGGTTTGTACAGAAACCTGTCCTTCATCCTCCAAACTGGGCCAAATGAGATGAGGTTGTGCAGGTTTCCATGGCTGTTCCTGTCACTGGGCTGCAGAACTGGCTCCACACTTTCCAAGCAGTCCTGGGAAGGACACGGAAAACTTCTGAAAGGGTATTGGTGGCACCTGAACAGAACCTCCTGCCCCAGGGGTCCACGGCAGGCACAGATCTCCTCAGATTCCACCTTTTCCAGCTCTGCTGCCATTCCAAAAGCTGAGTTGCTAATCCTTGGACCAGCACATGTGTACATCTCTATTCCCTGGCTCCCTTTCCCTGGGGATTAGCAACTATTGCTACCATTTCATGTCATTAACTCCCCTCCCAGAGGTGAACAAAGGGATTTCCCAGGCAGGGCTGACCTTGGTGTGGTGGCTTTGGAGGCAGCAGATCCCCCCTCAGTGGTGCCAGAGCAGCCCCCCCAGGTACCTGCTCACATCCCGCCTTTCCGTGCAGACACACGTCCAGCTCGCAGTGCAGGTAGGCCACGGAGTGGTTCAGCATCTGGAACAGCTGGATGGTGAAGCTGGCAGCTCTGGACCTGCTGCTCTGCAGCAGCTGGATGTGCCTGCACTCAAATGGCAGCCTGGAGCAAAGGGCAAACAGGTTCAAATTGCAGCTGAGGGAAGGCAGGGAAGGGGGGATCTGCTGGCAGGGGTCTGCACCAGCTCTGAGCCACAGCCCTGCCCTACAGGCAGAGTTAACAAAAACCCCCAGATGTCAGCACTGCAGGCTGTGCCTGCCCTGCTGTGGAGGACACAGCCCAAGGGCAGCAGAACTGTTCCCTGGAGGCTGATTTTGGTACAAGCAGTGAAATGGCTGCTGTGCTGTGACAGCCACTCCCTGACACGTCTCACACCCCAATGGTTTTGCAAACATCAGCTCAGGAATCCTCCCGTTCTCCTGTGCTCAGGTGAGGCCAGAACAGCTGTGAAATGCTGCTGGGGGAATGGGAGCCTGTGGAGAAGCCTGGCTGTCATCCCTGCACTGCTCTGCTCCCGGGATGTGCCATCCCAGCAGGAAGGGCAGGGATGTTGTACTCTGACACCTGGGACAGCACCTGTGGGGGATTGGGATGGCTTATCTACATAAGAAACGTAAATAATTATGGATGTGGGGAATTGGGATGGTTCATCTACAGAAATCCAAGGGAGATTTCTTCCCCTGAGGTTCTGTGCCTTATCAGGCCCTCGGTATTAATTACCAGGCTGAGGGAGCAGAGCACTCCCAGAGTCGCTCTCATGCTTGGAGCTTGCTCCAAAGAGCTCAGCCTGCAGCCACAGGACACAGGAGAGGATTCCCTGAGGATCCTAGGGGAGGTGAAGCCCATCCCATCCCATGGGCTCGTGTCCCACCTGCGGAACAGGCAGCACTGGGCTCCCGGGGCCCCGGGGCTGGCGGAGGGGGTCACACAGCACGAGTGGATCTGCAGCAGGGGCTGCACCAGGGGCTGGCTGAGGTTGTCCTGCACGGCCACCAAGGCCAGGAAGGTCTCTGGGGAAGGTGCTGGAGGCCCGTGGGGCTCGGGGGCCGTGTCAGCAGCGGGGCTCAGGCTCAGCTGCACCGTGTAGTTGCCGGAGCCGCAGGCGTCGTCCCTCACCACGGCCAGGCTGCAGGGAAAGAGGGGGGACAGGGCAAAAGGTGAGGCACAGCCAGGCAACAGGGACTGCCTCGACCTGTCACTGCAGACCCTTTAAATATTGACCCCACCCTTAAATCCGGCAGCAGGAATGACCCAGAGGGAATGGATTACCCATCCAGGACGGTGAGCTCCGGCTGCAGCCCCCTCCTGTGGTGAGAGTCCCCCGGGGCGCTGGGCTGGGCATCCAGCAGCGTCACCACAGTCACCAGCCCTTCGGCTGCTCCGTCTGTCACCTCCTCCGTCCTGCCCATCTCCTCTGCCTCCGTGTTCAGCAGCAGCCCCTGGGATGAGTCAGTGCCTGCCACACCCAGCAGGGAATCCCCCCGGGCTGGCAGTGCCACCGGGCTCCCGGCAGGATGTGAGGGGCTCTCTGGGCTTGGAAGGAGCTGGATCAGGTCCCTGGCTGGAAGCATCTCAGCATCACTGCCAGCTGCTCTCTGGAAGGCAGCGGAGTGACTGGTGACCTTGTTCCCAGGCCTGTCAGCAGAGACAGCCAGTGCTGCTGTGGGAGGTGGCCCGGTGGCACTCAGGGCACTGCCAGGGCTGGAATGACCAGGCTCCTGTTCCATGGTGTCCTCCAGGATCTCCTTCTCCAGAGGGTGTCTGGGTGACGCAGACAGGGGTGCCTGGGTGGGCAGGTGGCTGGTGGGGGCTGCATCTCCTTTTGCTTCGCCCTCGCCCTTCCCCACAGCGGGTGTGTTCACTCTGGGCAGCACCATGCTGGGATCAGGCTGGGGGGCTGGTGTGGGCAGGTGATGCCCTTTCTTGCTGGTGAGTGGAGCAGTGGTCTGAGCACCCTGGGCTGCAGAGAGAGCAGTCACTGCTGGGGCAGCCTGGGGGGTGCCCTGTGTCCCTCGGGGCTGTCTCTGCAGGGCAGCTCCCGTGGGCACAGAGGGCTGTGCTGCACTCGAACCCAGCTCCTTCCCCAGGGCTGCTGGGGGGGCTGTGTGTGTCTGTGTGTTCACTGGGGCTGACAGAGACACGCTCACCCCCGAGGATTTACCGGGTCCTGCTTTTCCTGCCCTCGTGCTGGTTTCAGTTGGCTTTGGGGTTTCTCCCGTGCTGGCCCGTGGGAACAGTTCAGTGGGAGCTTGGAGGGCTTGGTCACCTTCCAGGGCTGCCAGCAGGGGCACATGTGCAGGAGCAGGAGAAGGTGGGCGTGCAGCAGAGCTGGAACACACCCTTGGGGGGGTCACTGCAGCCAGAAGTTTCCCAGGAACCGTCGTTTTCCTTTGGATCTCTGTTGAGAAGGGAGCCTGCACTGGGGCTGCTGTTGGTCCCTCTGTCCTTACAAAGGGCTTGGGCACCATGGGAGTGAATTCCAAGTGGTGAGGGAGATCAGGCTGTACAGAAGTGCTGTGGGTTTGTGCTGCTGTAGCAGGCACAGGGACCCCTCCTGAAGGAGCTGTGCTGCCCAGGGCAGCCTCTCCGTGCTCATTCCCAGCTGGAAGCACCGGGGAAGCTGAGGACGTGCTGGGTACCACGGATGGCAGCAGCAGTGTGGTCCTGGGGAGCCCTTGGGACGTGGCTTGCAGAGGTTTGGTGCTTGTGAGCCCCTTTAGTGGGTGTTTTGTGGCTGCAGCTGAGCGTGAGGTCCCACACTCCATGCAGGGAGCAGGGGCAGAGCTCGGGGTGGTCCCTGAGCCCTGGCCAGGGGGGGCAGTTTGCAGTGTCCCACTGTGCTGGGCACGGCCTGCGGCCCCTGTGCTGCTGGGCACGGGCTGGGCAGGCACTGGGAAATCAAGGAGTCCCTTTGCTGGCAGTAAAGGAGTTACAGAATGTGGCTTTTCAGTCGTGGGAGACACTTTGGAGGAAGTGTAGGGGCTCTGCTGCGTGGGCAGCACTGATGGTGCCCCAGGAGAGGTGCCAGGCTCTGCCAACATCCTGCTCAGGAGCAGTAAATCAGTGCCCTTGGCCTCCTGGGAAGGGGGAGCAGGGATCTGCATCTCCTCTGGCATCCTGGGAAGGTGCAGGGCCTGTCCTGTGCTGCTCATCCCCATCCCTGGGTCCAGCAAAGGACCTGGTGCTGAGGTGGCAGCTTGGCCCAAGCCCATGGTGGCTCTGTAGCTGGGATGAGTTGGCTGAGGAGTCACCTTTGTTCTCTCTGCTTGTTGGTTGGACACAGTGGACAGAGTGGTTTCAGACTGACTGGTGGGATAAGAGGAACTCGTTCTCCCGTGGTTGCTTTCAGGGGTGCCCACATGTGTGCCCAGGTGGGTGGTTCTGTGGTCACCTTCCCCCTGAGGAAGGGGTGAGTGTGCCCTGTCCGTGGGCAGCAGGATGAACACAGGCCTGACCAGGACCAGGCTGGAAGGACTCAGGTGGTGTAAGTCTGCCAGGTCCAGCGCTGAGGAATTCGACGCTGCCAGGATTTGCTGGACAGAAACCAGCCCCCCAACACTGGCATTTGGGAATGTCCTGGGCAGAGGGGACTCCTGCAGGGGTCGAAGGCATATCATGCCATCAGTGCTCTTAAACAGGAAGGACAGGTTTGGGGCTGAGGTGATGGTGAGGGGGTCTCCTCTGGTAGTGCTGAGGTTCCTGGTGGCTGCATCAAGAGCCCTCCTGAACTGCTGCACCAGAGCCTGTGCCAGCTGTGCTGGGACCTCACTGGGCACCCCTGGGTCAGGGTGTGCTGTGGCTGAGCTGGGCTGGCTCCCCCCTGCACGGGGCGAGGGTGGTGCTGGAGCAGGAGCTGCTGGGCTGGCAACGTGCTGGCTCTGGGGGGCTGCAGGGGCAGAGCTGTGCCAGGGAGCTGCCTGGGTCCTGCTCTCACGGGCTCCAGAGGGGCTGGGCACTGGGCTGGCTGGTGCAGAACCAGTTCCAGCTGTCTGCTGTGGGAGACCTTTCCTTCTCTTGGAGTCTTCCCCTGTGCTCACCTGCAGTGTCACAGCAAAGGCCTCCTGAGGTACAGGGTGGGCAGGAGCCCCCTGAGCCTGAGACCCAGGGCCAGGGGCTGGGGGTGAAGTTGTTGTTGTGTGAAGTCTCTCAGCAGAGCGGGGGATGCCCATGGGCTGCAATCCAGCACGAGCAGGGAAAGAGGCACCTGGTGGCTGAAGCCCCTCCTGAACAGAATCCCAGGGCTGAAGGTCTGCATTCCCAAAGCCAGACATTCCAGGAGAGGGTGCAGATGTTACTTCTTTTTGCTCTTTAGTAGTCTGGGAAAGCTTTAATGTGGAAATCCCTGATGGGCTTAATGAGGATGAAGTAGTAGAAGCCTGTGGGCTCTCAGGGGATAGAGATTTTCCAGGTTTACTTGTCACCATCCCATGATCAGCATCTCCTTGTAGAGCTACAACTGTGATTCCTTGAGAGCTCCTGTTGCTTTCCTGGGCAGCAGGTTTGGTGCAGTTGAGAGCCCTGTCCAAAGACAGGGGCTGTTGTCCTCCAGTTGTGCCAACAGGCCCTTGAATTGGAGATGGACTTAACCCACCAGGAACTGGGGATCCCATCAGGAACGAAGAGGAATGAAGAGGTGGCAGTGTCTGCAGAGCAGGCAGCTGGGTTGGGTGTCCAGAACCATTTGTTACAGCTGCTGTGGAATTCCTGCCTTTGCTGCCTGTGGTCTCTTCCTTCAGAGGCAAAGCAGGGGAAAGCTGAGTGGCCCTGGCATGTGTTGTGCTGGAATAGGCTGCATCCAGGCCCCCTGGAGCTGGCTGTGGTGGGACTGCAGAAGCTGTAATTCCAGCATCCATACCCTGGGTCCTGTCCAGGCGTGCAGGAGTCAGAGCTGCTGTGCTGCCAGGCTGGGCCTGGGGGTTTGTGTGCATCCCTGGGGGGGACCAGCCCAGCCCTGCACCTCCAGGAGCAACCCCAGCTCTGCTTGGAGATGGAGATGCTGCTGTTCCTTTTCCTGGAGGATGAAAATGGACTGTTGAAGTCAGGGGAGATGTTTTAGGCTTTGTCACCTCCATAAGAACAGAAAGGGAGGGGACAGCTGTGAACTGGGGAGAGTCCTGGTGTGGCCCCGCACTGGGAGGGGGCTGGGGCAGCCCAGCAGCAGGGCTGGCAGGGCTGGGACCAGCCCCAGGGATATCTCCTGGTCTCTGCAGGGAGCTGCCTGGCTGCTCCAGAGCTGTGGCAGCCTGGGATCCTTGTGTGGAGACAGGGATGCTGAAGCTCCCCAAGAGCTGGCCAGGCCAGGCGTGTCCACCCTGGGGTTTTGAAGCTGCTGTTTCTGTGTGCAGAGGCTCAGACACCTCCAGGGTCCCAGCCAAGCCCCCAGGCAGCAGAGCTGTCCCGTTTGCAGCTCTCCCTGTGGCAGCAGGGCTGGAGTCAGCCGTGGTTGCCTTGGTGGGATCAGCTGCTGGGCTCTGGAAGTGGAAGGTCACCCCATCCAAGTCGTCCTCTGTCCCAGGGAAGCCCTCGCTGGGCACTGGGCTGCTCTCAGCTCTGGGCTGGGCCCATCCAGGGAAGCCCAGGGCCAACATGTCACTGGCATCACGTTCACTCCTGGAGGCTCCTAAGGAACAGAAAACAAGCCTTTGGCCCTTTCAGTCGCCCAAGAACCTTGCACAGTTTGCAGCAGTTCAGTGGAGCAGCTGCTGCCTGCCCAGAGCCACGGGGAGGATGGGCAGCTCTGGCACTGCCCTCTCACAGAGCTGGGACAGACCTGACCCTCTGCACCCTCTGAGGGACCCAAAGCATTGCCCAGCCAGGGGGGAGCCCTTGACCTTCCCTGTGCAAGGATCTAAACACCTGAAGGTGTAGGGGGAGGAAACCCTGAGGCTGCCCAAGGACAGCAAAGCAAGACTAAAACACCCCTGAGGGAGCTCCCACCTTTATATTCTCTAATCAAAAGCAGACACTTTGCCAGTTTAAAAGGCAGACCCTGGGTTTAAAAGGTTGTCTTTTTGTCCACACATTTTTGCTTTTTTTTTTTTTGTCTTCACGTCAGAAGCTCTGACGTTCCCAAGTATCATTTCCAAACCATCAATTAAAACATTTATTGTACTTTCCTCTCCCAAAACTTTGAGCGTTTTTCCCTGAGGCACCTGCCAGGAAACAGGCTGATCCACAAGCTATAAAAAGGTGATTATGCATTTGAGTGTTATGCATTTAAATAGTGGAGTTTTTGACAGAGGCAAAGCAGAGCTTCAGCAGATGAAATCCCTGGGCTTGGCATCCAGGTGTGGTGCCTCAAGATTCCAGTGTCCCTGTGGACATTTGGAGAACCAGCACTGCTTTGAGGCAGCAGTGAGCAGGAAAAGCTGCTATGATGGAACTCAAAAAGCTGATTTATTGCTAAAAAAGGGAGGGAGGTTAACAGGTGATGGAGATTGGTATGTCTATAAAATACTTTAAACTGGGGGTTTTGTACAAACAACTGACACTCCCATGGTTTAGTCCCAACACAAGTGATCTGTCTATAAAGACAAGCACTTACTGAACTGAGGTCTTAAAGTGGTGAGAACAGCCACAAACACACCCTGCAGGGGGACAAGGTAATTTAAAGAAACACACCAAAACCCACAAAGAGAATAAAATCGTTAATCAGGTGGAGAATTCTTATCAGGCTTAAGATGATGAACTGTGGTGCCTGGAAAAGGGGATTCTGAACAAGGTTCCACCAGTTTGATCCTCAGTGCTGCTTGGAACTACTCTGGGAAAAGGGACTTTTTGCTCTGCTTTCCCCACCCTGAAGAGAAAATACCTATTTTGTGAGCTCAGGTAAAACAGCACAGGAATGTCCTGAGTGGGGCCACAAACACCCCCCAGCTGAAAGCCCCCAAATCCTGAGCTGCACAGGCAGAGGGAAGCTGCTCCTGCATCCCAGAGTTATCCCAGGCTGCTGGCACAGCACGGAGCATCCTTTCTGTGCTTGCTGATAAGGGAGGAAACAAGGCAGAGAAGCAGCAACAGAGATCAGAACAAAACACATCACTCACCAGACAAATCCAACAGTCCAGCTGCAATCAGGACAAAGATGGGCAGTTTTTCTTGCATCTCGTGAAGCAGCTCCTGAGTCATCCCAAGAAAATACATCCTGACAGGAAGCAGCTCCCCGAGGAGTCACTGCTGCCTCCCAGAACTGGGCATTTGCTGGTTGCTCTGGAAGGGCAGAGTATTGGGTTACTTTATAAGAGCTTAGGCCAGACAGCAACCAATAACCTGTTCCAGAAAAAAAAAAAAAACCTGCACCAATTGGAATCAATTGATTTTTAACAAAAGAGGAGAGTGTGTTCGTGTGTGTTTGCCATCCAAAGATGGAAAAAGTGGCTGTAAACGGGAGAGGCTGCTCGTGCAAGGCAGCTCTAGCCCTGGGGAAAGAGTTAAAATGCTACCTGGGGTGCTGTGGGAAGGATGTGAAGGTGCTTGGGTGTATCCAGGGGGGGACAACAGAGCTGGGGCAGGGCTGGAAGGCACCTCCTGGGAGCCTGAGGGCTCTGGGTTTGTCCAGCTTGGAGAAAAGGAGGCTGAGGGGCGACCTCCTGGCTCTCTGCAGCTTCCTGAGGAGGGGATGGGGACATGGAGGGGATGGAGGGGAGGTGCTGAGCTCTTCTCCCTGGGATCCGGTGCCAGGACATGTGGGAATGGCTCAGAGCTGCAGCAGGGGAGGTTCAGACTGGGCAGGAGGAAGCATTTCTTCACCAAGAGGGGGGTCAAACCCTGGAACAGGAGAGGTGGACCCTGCCCCAAACTGCCAGTGTTTGAGAGGCATTTGAGCAATGCCCTGAACAACACCCTGGCACTGCTGTTCAGCCCTGAGTGCTCAGGCACTGGGACTGGATGATGGGGCAGGTGCCTTCTAACTAAACTATTCTACAATTCTAATTCTACCCAATAAGGGTCAGAAGGTTTTGCCAGTTTGTGCTGATACAAACACACTCAGGGATCAGCCTGGATCCCAGATGGAGACATTCCACTAAAGCCATCCACTCCTGCAGTGACCCCAGGAGATGGACAGTCTCCCTGTGACCCTCCAGGCAGGGTGAGGCTCCAGAGGAGGAATCCAGCTGCTGGATCCTTTCTTCCCCAGGCCTACAAGCATTGGCAAAGTGTGTTCTCCACTCAGGAGCCACAGAGAAAAGCCACCACACGTTGAGGAGGGGACAGCACAGCAACAAACCCCAGCTGGCTCAGGGCAGCCTGACCTGACATTTAGGTGAGGGAGGAACGAGACCCACAGGGGAAGAACAAGAATTTAAACGTTCATAACAGGATTTAAACTTTCATAACAGAATTTAAACTTTCCTAACAGCCAAAGAAGAGACCAGAGGCTGATCACACACACACAACCCTTTTTTCCTTTAGCCATAAAGCCCCAGAGTCCTTGCAAACCTTCCCCTGCAGACACGAGCAGCACACAGCAGGTATCTCCCAGTGCCAGGCACCTGCACAAACACACACAGTGAGCCAAACTCGTGGAGAAGGGCTGAGGGGAAGGAGAGAACAGTCACACAGCCCTGGCTGCCCTGAGAGCAGAGAAAACATGAGCACGAGTCAGATAAGCAGCACAGTGACAGGTGGGGAAAGCACAGTGAGGGACACCAGGGTGAGGGGATGGCTCTGGCAGGGGATGAGGGGATGGCTCTGGCAGGGGATGAGGGGATGGCTCTGGCAGGAAGCACCAACAAACCCTGATCCATCCCTCAGCAAGCTGCTCGAGTGGAGCCTGGGGGAGGACAGACAGCACAGTCCCAGCCCTGCCACTCACCTCCAGCTGGGAACCAAGGGCAGGTCACCTCGGCTTTTTCCCACTCTCAAAGTTGTCTGGGAGAGAAAATCACCCTGACTTTTGGCATTTGTACAGCCCCTGACACACAGAGCCCCGATTCCAGCCAGTGCCTCCACCCCAGACCTGCCCCCAGCAATCTGTGCCCTGCCCTGGGGCACTGAACACTCTCGGGAACAAACCCTGGGGTTTGTGCCTGTTTGCACGGAACCCACACACAGCATTTGTCCCATGTTTGTCTAGGCAGGGTGCAGCTTAGCAGCAGGATCCTAAAAAAGCCAGAGAGATTATTAAATTGAGATTATCAATTCTGTGCCTTTCACTGAGAGGGGAGAAAAACCAGGTGCAAGAGAATTTCCTTCTCCTCAAGTGGGAAGATGATTCAGCTGCTATTTTGAAAAGGAGATGATATATAATTTGTCAGCCACTGTTCTGGAGGGACAAGATTACCCCCAGAATAGACACCCACAGGTGTCATGGAGGGAAGCTGAAGAGCCATTTTAAAGTCAAACATGACTGGCCTGTGCTTATTCATATAAATGTAATATATTCTTTTGTTTCCTGTGTTTAAAAACAAGGCAAAAAAAATGGCCACTTATTGTGTCATTTATTAGAGCAAAGACAGCTTAGTGCAAGCTGTTATTTTAGTTGGTAGCCTAAATAATAAATTAACTTCTTTTTCCTGATATTGTTTTACTGGCTTCCTTGTAGGACCACAAATGCTTCAAAAAGGGACTAAGAAGCTGATGTGCTTTGAGTTAGTTTTATTAAAGAAAAGAATACTCAACAATAAGTGGGATGAAGAACACATTTGGGAGGTCTCCTGAAGGGTTCAGCTGCTGTGCACGTATTTCATGGAGGAGTTCAGGATGGCCAGGCCATTGAGCTTCCTCAGCTGGTGAATGTGCCTGGAAAGACAACAGGAAGCTTTCTGGGAAATGGGTGGTGACTACAATGGAAGTTTGAAGCTTTCACTGCCCTGCCACACCCCTGCTCAAACCTTCAAGGGTGTTTAATGCCATATTCAATAAATCCCTCTTGGAGCAGCACAAGAAACAGAGTTCCTAGATTACTATTCCCCTCAGAAAGGAAAATAAATAATGCCTGATCATACTAAAATAGATGACATTTCACATCAACAAAACTAAGAAAATAAGGTGTTTCCCTCTCCTATCTCTGGTGGGTTACACAAACCTCACAGCAGGTACTTTAGTGCTGCTTTGGCATCTCCAGCAGAAGCAAGGCAGGTAAATTCTGGGACCTAAGCATTATCCCTTGCTTTCTGCAGTGGGTCAGGATGCACATGAGCAAGTTAAACTCGGTTTCCCTGCATGGAATGCAGCCCAAGACCCAGCTGTCAGCCTGGCACTCTCCTGGCAGGCAGCAGCAGACACTCCTTGCTGACATTTCTACTGTTATTCTGCTCTCATTATTGCTCTGACCTCTGCAGTGATTTCTAACATCCCTTCTTCCAGCACAGGCAAACGAACTCCTTGAAACGTGTGAAGACAGAGAACTAACCCCCCGGGAGCCCTAAAGCAGGATTTTGGGGAGAGGACAAGCGGGAATTCCAGTTGGAGGAAGGGTATTTATATAAAATAACCCCCTGCCCCGCACCCTCTTGCCCTGTGGGTATAACTGCCTTACTCTGGCTGGTTTTTCAAGGGTCATCACCTAAAGAACCCCCAGCTGGAGCAGCCCAGGGGTGTTGGGGCAGTACCTGGGCTCAGCAGCACAGAGCTTCCCCAGGGCCACGGCCGCGTTCTCCTGCACCGCCGGCCCGGCGGCATCACCCCCGGCCAGGCTCAGCAGCAGCAGCACCACGTTGGAGCCCAGCAGGGCTGTGCCTGCCCCGGGCACCCCCAGGCACTGGCTGAGGCAGAAAGCAGCATTTCCCACCACCATCTCCTCCTGTGAGCGCAGGAGCCGCAGCAGCACCGCAAACCCTGGGGGGAGGAGGCACAGAATTCACTCCGAGCTGCTCGGGGAGCACTGACCTTCCCTCCTGCCTCCCCTTCCCAGGGGCTGAGCCTTCTGGGAAACCCGGGGGGAGCAAGGGAATTCCCTGGCAGGGCTCAGGATCCAGGAGGGATCAGCTTCACCTGCCCAGCTGTGTCCTCACTAAGGAGAGGAGCTGGAGGTGCCACCTCTGCAGCTCCCACTGGCCTCTCCCCCTGGCAGGGCAGGCACAGAGGGCTCAGAGAGCCCAGTCCACTGTCTGAAGGCAGAAATGCTGTGGTGGGAAGGACAGCTGAGAAAAGGACCATGAAAAGCTTCCTGTAGATCCTTCACCACCACAGGGCAGCTCAGCTCATCCACCTCTGTAACCAGCAGAGTATTTTCTGTGCCCTTGGCAGAGATGTGCAGCTCTTGCTGACCTCTGCAAGCAGCAGCATCTCAGGCCACAGAGTCTGGAAACGTTTAGAGAGACCACTGTCTACATAAAACACACCCAGGAAGTTTCCTTGGGGATTTACATAACTTTGTTTTGTTTGTTTGTTTGTTTTTCTCCATGGTCCCTCTTCCTGCTCACATCCCACCCTTGCTGCTGCAATAATATCTCCTGCAAAGGCAGTGCTGCTCCCCACAGCAGCAGGGGCTGGGGCAGGGGCTCAATTAAGTGGCCCAGAAATGCAATTCAGTGTCATGGGACTAAAGCTCGATTCCAGTGTCTGGGCTGGCAAACAGAGCTGACAAAAAAAATAAGAAATAAGTGACTTCTCAGAGGATTAATACCCAGAGCTTTGGAGGGAAGAATGAGAGTGAAGTGTTGGTGCTATTTGAGGAAATGAAAGCTTCATCTGCAGATGACAGTGAAACTCATCTGGGCTGCACAAAGGGAAGATGATGCTCTGAGAGGCTTTTAATGAGTGGAAACCCTTGGGGTTCAAGTTGAACTACACACACTGACAGTTTCTTGACAGGTTCAACCATTTAGAGCACATTTAAGTATTCTCTGTTGTAGTTACATTAGCATTAATTGAAGCTGGATTTTAAAGCAATCTAAGCAGTGTTATACCACAAGACTAGAGCAAATATACTCCAAAATACCCTGACACCTGGCCTGGTATCATCACTCTGTCTCTGTATCCATCTCGTTTTAATAGCAGGCCAAATAAACACATGAAAAGCACCATAAAACAGCCTCAACCTCTGGAAATCAGAAGTTTCTCATTTTAGCCAGTAACTTGATGAAATACACCCCAATTCAGTTCCAGTTTACCAGCACTTTTTCCAAAATACATCCCCTGACAAAGCCTCCTGAGCCATCTCAGCAGAGTAAGGTGCAGTTTCCTAACTCAGGCTCTTCACCTGCTGTGCTCATTTCAATCCACAAACACAACCAGGCCCATCAAACACCCCCTCAGGAGGGAACACAGCACATCACCCAGAGAACGTGGCTGAAGTCTTGCCAGAGCAAAACCCCGAGTTCAGTTCCACTCTGGAGGGAAAGGCAGGAACTGGGGGAGATCCCAGCTCTGCTCTCAGTCTCCAATTAGTGGAGTTGGCACTTACTTTTATCTGCCTTCACCAGCTCTTCCTGAGCCTGCCTGCTGCTCTTGGTGCAGATGCAGAGGGTCTTTATGCCATAAGTGGCTGTGAGCTGCCCTCCAGCCTGGTGGGATTAAAGCACATTAATAACCAGTTCACTCCCACCTTGCCCAGAGTTAGAGTGGAGACACTCAGGTATTCCTTATTCCTAAGCCCAAATATCCAATCAAAACCTTCAGAGAGGATGAGAATTACACAAAACCCAACTATTTCAAAATCCCCTGAATGTCTGGAGGCCAATTCTTTTCAAACCATCAGCTCTGAGACAAGACCCAAGCTGAGTGTTGTCTTCTAGGCTAACCTGGTCTGCATCACAGCAAGTGTGCAAAATGCACCTCAGACACATCCTGCCAGACACAGAGAAAACTGTGCAGCCCCCAGACTGCCTCCCTGGCTTAAAACTAAACCTGGCAGCTTAAAACTAAACCCAGACTGTCACAGTGGACACCACGGAGGCAGACACATCCTCCCTCTCCCAGGGAAAGGAGGCCAAAGCCAGGGGCAGCTGTGGTTTGCTGAAGGGAAAATACGAGCAGAAATAAAGAGAGTTTAACTCACTTTCAAGAATTTGACCATTTTCTTCACCACTCCTCCTTTCACTGCTTCCTCCACCGCTGAGGAGGACGCTGGCAGGACACGGCTCAGCACCCCAATGGCTCTCTGAGTCAGGGAAAAAGGAGAGGGGAGCAAAAGGAAATGTTTGTTTGCCCAGGAAACTTCAAATTATTTTGTTCGGCAGGAAAAAAAAACAAAGTAATCAAAGCACTAAAAGGAGAAGTTTACAGAAATTCAGAGAATCACAGACTTGGAGAATCTAACAAGAAACTTCTTGAGGATGAGGCTTTTTTATTGTCCAGTGAAAACTGAACACAGCAGAGCTTCTAAACTCAGTGCAGGGGAGAGGTGAGACCAAACTGAGACCAGTACAACTCCCTGCATGTTTATTCATTAAATAACACCATTATCAGGAATGTTTTCGGCCTCAAAGCCTCGTGTACAGACCTGTACAGGGCAGAAGCTTGCTCTGATGTGCCAGGTCAGCCAAGACCACGTTTTGCTGCTGACTTACTGTGACAATCCTCCCGTCCTGGTGGCTGAGCAGAGCCAGGCACCTGCCAGTGACGGCCACAGCAAAGTCCTGCAACAACAGGGGGGAAAACTCACTTGCTGGGAAGGGTTAGAGCAGAAATGGGGTCACAGACAAAAGTTCCCCACAACAAAGGATCCAGTGGAGATCGGGGAACACCCCTCAGTAAGTTACTGAACGTAGGAAATTCTTCCTTCTCGGTGGAACCCCGAGTTTTGAATGGTTTTGGAATGTGCCCAGTGCCTCAGAACATCACACAGCTGGAGAGTGACTCCAAACAAAACATTTATACCTCTATGGGAAGATCCTACGTGTGCTTTACACTGGGTTTTTTCTCTTAACTGTGTGTTTATGTAAAAAGTGGTGGTGGAGAAAATGTTGTCATTTTTTTCCACTTTTTAGCCTACTTAAATTGTCAACAACCCTTAAAAATAACCTTAAACACCATAATTTCTTTTTTAAATTCACAGATCTTGTATACCTGGATGATCCCATTGGATTCAAGCAGCAAGTTCATCATCAGGCCCAGCACTGCAAACACACACTCCT